TAGAATGTTGTCCAGAGCTGTTAAAATGCACCTGCACTGGCAATAACTATACAGTAATACCTCGGTTTACGAATTTAAATTGTTCTGCAGGACTTTTCGTATAGCGAAAAATTTGTAAACCGAAACACAGTTTCCCATAGGAATGCATTGAAAACCAATTAATAAGTAAACGCTAATAAAATACAGCATGAGTTATTTTATTAAGTCATAAGGTATTTTAGTAGTGACAACCATGTGTTAATGTTTCAGCTGTCAGCAGGGTTCCCCACTGACAGCTGAATGTAAAAGAATTGCCAGCAATTAAAAAAATTATTAAGAAAAACAGCATGGGGGTCCCCCTCACATCCATACCAAGTTCTTGGGGTTTTGTATGGATTTTGAGGGGAACTCCCACGTCAAATCCATACCAGACCATTATCCGAGCATGCAGCCCAGCAGGTCAGGAAGGGGGGGGGGGGGTTGCTATGACTAGCGAGCGCCCCCCCCCCCTCCCCTCCTGAACCATACCAGGCCACATGCCCTCAACATGGGGGGGGGGGGGGATGCTTTGGGCTGTGGTTGTGGGGGTCTGCAGGCAGGGGGCTTATCGGAATCTGGAAGCCCCCTTTAACAAAATTCTGGCCCCACCATGTGAATGAGTATGGGGTACATGATACCGCTACTCATTCACAAATAACAAAAAGTGTAGTGTGAAAAAAAAGACAGGACACGGTCTTTGACAAGTCCTTTATTAAAATAAAAAAACTAAAAGAATATCCCCCGCAGTAGATCCAACGTCAATCACGATGCCCGCCACGAAAAAAAAAAAAAAAAAAAATAAGGTTCCGTTCCCGACGGTGGCTGACAGCCCTCTGCCTCTGAGCTGGTTTGACAGTTCTTAAATATGTAAGGGACGGGGCTACCCGGGGACATCACCTGAGTGACCCCAACCCATGTAACATCATTGATGTCACATGGAGTGGGGTCACATGCGTGATGTCCCCGGGTGGCCCTGCCCCTTGCATATTTAAGAACTGTTTAAGAACTGTTAAGCCAGCTCATAGACAGAGGGCTGACAGGCACCATCGGGAACGGAACCTTTTTTTTTTTTTCGCGGCGGGCATCATGATTGACATTATATTGCATATTTAAGAGCTGTCAAACCACTGGAGCAGGCAGAAGGCCATTGTGATTGATGTTGGATCTACTGCAGAGGATTTTTTCTTTTAATAAAGGACTTTTCAAAGACCGTGTCTTGTCTTTTTTCACACTACACTGTTTTTATGTGAATGAGTAGCGGTACCATGGTTTTTAAATGTAATTACCGCTTTTATTTTTTTCTTCACTATAGCTCAGAAATTCAGCTGTTACATTCCCCCCAGCTAAAAGAGAGAAAGTTTTCTTTTAGTTTATTTCCCCAAGTTAAAAAACAATGTTTCCTTTTAGTTTCTTACAAGAAACAAAGTTTCCTGCAACTCCAGGGAAAGTGACAGCTAATCTTGTGAGCTATAGTGAAGAAAAAAAAAAGCTAGCAATTGCATTTAAAATCAGCATTGACATACACTTCGTGCTGCAAAACAAATTCGTAAAAAATCGTAAACCGAGGCATTATTTTCAATGGATTTTCATACATAAACCGAAAATTACATTAAATCGAGGCATTCGTAAACCGAGGTACCACTGTAATAACAAAATAAGCTCAGCACTGAAAAAGATCCCAGGCAATGCCTCTGAACCTTGCTTCTCAGCAAATCTCTGAATGTTATTTTCATAATAAAAAAAACAAAACCCTGTGCTGTGTCCAACAAAAATCATATATCTCAAAAAATAGAAAAAAAATAGATTTCATAATATATATACTATACATGAACAATTACCAGTTAAAAAAAGTTCCAATACATCCAAAACGAACAAACAATATCCAGAGTGCTTCTTCATGCAAAATCTCAATATCTTTTGTTACTCCATTACTATGAAAGACATTCACCAGCTTAAATTAGCTCTTTTTACAAGGATAGTCTGACTGGGCCCTTAGCTGCAGTATTCCAGTCAAGATATACAAATCCTCCCCCTCTTTCTCCACAGCATTGGTATCATAAGATCATGAAAAAAAAAAAAAGGGGGGCATAAATCGTAAGATATATCGAAAATTCAATGTCTATTTAAAACAAGTAGGAATACTCACACACAAACAGATGATACAGAGTGCATAACATGTAAATCAGTACAGAGGCTGCCTCGAAACCTGTCCTCCTGCTGTTCACAGAGCTCAAGCCAGCTACCCTACTTCTCAGCGAGTCTCCTTGGTTCCCTGCCTCACATCTGATCACCTCTAGACCACGTTCCGATACATTTCATCATCAAAAGGACTTTCTCAAGAGGATGGTAGGCTTATACATTTCACCTCCACCTCCCCACAAACTCCATTCACAGTGCTCTAGTGAGTTAATGGGTTGCTCACGCACTGATCATCTGTGGGATTGGGGGGTGGTTGGCAAACAGCTTTTTACAACACAGGTATGGTCAAGAATTCTAGGCTACCTTTTCTATTTATTGCCACCACAGGCAAACATGGAGACAGGTCAAGGATTCCCCCTAGGATTAGAGGCTCTGGTCAGATTTGCAGAAAAGGACAATTTCAAGACATAACTCCTGTAAGACATGTGCACTGATGCCTACAAGGTCATGCTACAGCATTGTACCTAGTACTATTCAGCAGCATCAATCTAATTACATAGCAAAACTGCACACAGCAGGTTCATTTTAATCTGTTCGAAGGATCCATGCAGCCCCACTTGAGCTGCATCCAGTTCTGAGGTGAATGTGGATAATGCATATTGTTCACCGTTGCCCATGCACTAACCTTAAGACAAGCAAATACATTGAAACCTTCAGTTTCTCTGTTAAAATGTTGCAACCATCTGGCATTTCAAGTGATAAAAAAAACAAAATACAAATGATGTAGGCTTCATACAGTACTGTACAATATGAATACAGGAAGAAAAAAAATAAATCCACACTTGACTTACAAACAGATGAAAGAAATAAACATTAAATTGTAAAGATAATTAACAAGGGAAAACTGGTTACATTTATATGCAGGCTTAATTACTCACTACTGTTGCCAAACTGCAAATCAATTGTATTGATGTTTTTTAGAATTTTGCACCTCTGGGACAGCCCCAAGCTTTCCTGTATGTTTTAGAGGAGGTGCAATCGCAAACATTTCTGTACTGGGGAAAACTACTTTACCAGAAGGATGAACCTTAAAGAGAAGTGAGTCACTCCATAAGGAAATTGGCACAGTGAACAAAATAACCCAAAACACAGAAAACACATGATGTGTAGTAAAACAATGGCATTGCCAGTTTATTTATATGTGCTTATGTCCGATTTGTCCAAAATTAAATAAAAAGGTATACACAGAAAGAACCCAGGTACCAAAAGAAATAAAGCTAGCTAAGATAAGAAATGTAAACGTTTAATAAAAGAATGATTTATGCTCATGTCATACAACTAAAAGAGCCACTAGATGGAGCTACATTTCATGGTTGACCATTAAAACCGGACAGGAACACAGAACAAAAAAAAAACAAAAAAAAAAAACCCCAAAAACACATTAATAAAGCCGACTTATTTACAGAACTGTTTTCCAGCAGACGATAAGGACTGAGTTAATTCATGCGCTTTAGCATCTGAACAGGGGTATACACGTTGAGGTTTTTATTTCATTCAACCAGCTTGTTGGAGGGGAAAAAAACCCAAAAAAACCAGATCCCTGCATCCACACAACCTATGTGTGATGGAGGGATCCCACCCCCCCTCCCCTTCTTCGCCCCCCCTCACCTTCTCCGCCCCATTCTATTCATTTTTCACTTCTAGCTGTGTCTGCCAAATATTGGCTTTATATGTCCATACTCTCAAGAGTAAGGCAAACAAGAGTTGCTAAATCTGCAAGACAAAGTAGGACTGGCCAGAGAGGGCTCACTTTGATTCAGCTGGTCAGCTTGAAAATGTATTTCAATTTATGGAAACTAAGAATCCCCATTCAATAAGCAATAATTTGCTATACTATAAAAAAGGAAAAAAAAACACGCTAGGGCCCAAAATCCAGCAACAATATACTGCAGCTAGCACAGTACATTAACACATAGTACCTTAGAGATTCAACAGTGCAGAGCTGTGAAATAAAATGTATAAACAAAAATTATCATGCAATGCAAATAAATATCAAAAAGTATTAAATAAAAAATGTAAACTCCTATGAGTTACCATTAAAATGGCCTCACATAAATGCAAGTGTCTAAATGCATATATGTGGGAAAAAACTATGTATAAAAATCCCAAGAAGACCAAAATTGAGCTCTACAGTCACACTTGCAGCAGTTGTTTTCCTATTTCGGGTTACAATCCTGCACAAATTTTCCTTTTGACTCTTTTGGTCAGTTGACCATGTCAGCCGCGCCTATACTTATCAGAAGATGGTTTCCCAGAAACTGTATATGCTGTCAGAACCTTTGATACTGTATCTCGTGACATGGCAAATGAATTGACAACTTCAGTCACAGAGGCACCATCTAAGTGGGCACCCTCTTTGAAGCTCAGTAAGCTCTGACATGACTCCGCATTACTAGCAGTGCACACAGTGAATGACGAAACGGAGGCTTCCCACCTGTTAGCTAGGTGTCTTATCACACAGCTGAACCAAAAAATGTAACATCACTTCCACTTTGAATGCCAAACACCTGCAAATCATGTAGAGTTTCCTTTTTTTTTTGCCTAACCTCTGTATACACATGCACACACATATATATATACACATACACACATATACTGAGCCCCATGAAAATAACTGATTACCATGCAAGACTCTGGGGGAGCTGAAAATACTCATGTATGAGTGATTTGTAAAGGCCTTTGTAGAGAATATACTTTCTGACCAATAAATGTAGCCCACTGTTCAACATAAGTGTGTATACAACACTGATCTGAATACAGAAAACAGAGTGCTTTGCTCTTACCCCAGATATAAGAAACACTTTGCAGAAGTCCAGCACAGGCAGTATCTGTAAAAAGCTTGCAGCCTCCAGTGTATCTTGAAGATTATCCATATTCAGGGAAAGTTTTGCAGTGTAAATGAAATCAATAATTTTCTTTAATCCAATTTTGTTCACGCCGTGTAATTTAATGCACATTAAGTCTTGTTCCTTCATTCCACCTAGACCAAGAAATCAGTCTCTATTTTAATTATCCTTAAGATGCACAAGTTTGTAACAAATTGCACCACTTTAGACACCTTTTGTACACAGCTGACATTTGAATATGCATATGATGTTAAAAAAATTTTAGTGTTAATTTTTCAGGGATTAAAAAGTTATGTGCCATTTTCTTGTGCAAGGATTACATTCACAGATTGCAGGTGCAGTAGGCATAATTTTGCAGACACTGTACATTATTATCTCAAGCTGGGCTGAAAAGTGGTATCATATTCTGACTAAATCTAGCATATTTTCTATCAATAATGCTCTGATACATTCCACCTCCCCCCAATCCTTTCCATGCTATATCCATTACTCAAACCTGGAAATTAATAAAAGAGGCGTGTTGTGGATTTTGCACAGGAAAACAGTTTGATAATTACCACCTTGGTCTAACAACAAAGTAAATGACTACAGTACCAGCTCTGGACCTTATTTTTTCATGGCTAAGATAACAGCAACTGGGCAACCAATCAGATCTAAATCTGCAGTGGCAAAAACAATGTTCTATTTACAGCCCATCTGCATTGATCTCAGGCTTTTGCAGTGTTCAAGTCCAACTAGTTTGTTTTCAGGGCAGATCAAACAGAAGCTAAAATCGGGCTTCCCATCATAAGGGTTTTTTAAATCATGAGATCAGAATTCCCAAAATGCACATTACTGCTTGAACGTCTTGCTGAATACTAGGACATGTTCCAATACCTTGCAACATACTACATTCAGAAAAACAATCAAGCATAGTTACACACTTCAGGACTGTTGCAGTAGGGTACAACTGAACTCTAAATGCCAGTGTCAACAAGCTTTTGATTGGTTCAAATGGTTTTGCACACCTATTTACATTTATGAGAATGCAAAAACCAGTTTGAAGTATGAAAATGCAGTCAATAAAAGGGTCAAATTCAGGTACAATGCACTTATCAAGGAAATGATGCCATTGCCACAAGCCCAAAGTCTGTTAACCAGGTCCAGATAAGCACTGTCAGAGACAGACATCGCACAATAGTCTGTTTTAATTTAGCTTAGCTAATTATGAAGTCAATTGATGTCATATTCATATGATCAAACACCAGCAAGTGTACAAAGTAGAATAAAGTCACCAATTCTCTGTTGAAGATACAATTGTTAGAATATACGAAAAGCAGCACCTAGATGCCAACTGACATTGTATTTGAAAGACAAAGTAAAATTTTTAGGTCAAAATGAATGTGATGCTACCCAACAACACACAAAGTTCTACAACCTATGAGGCCCATTATATTGCAACATCCACTTCACTGACAAAATGTATTTATAACCAAAGTGGAGAAGTTTTATTTCTCACAAAATAACAATTAATTTTCAACATAGATAATCAACAACTAGCTTATACCTTTATCTTGTCTGTAGTAGAACATGTATCTGCTTTGCCAGATCAAGGCTGTGCCCCGGGGAGAACTTTATCTGTCAGCAGTCTAATATTTAACATACAACAACCCAGTGAAGAGCATTGTTGATGGATACAGAAAGATAAATTACCGGTAAACATGGCTTTGAAGTAATCACTTGAGGAAGCCATCATGGCTCGGTGAACTGGAAAAATTTCATCTCCATCACCTGGCACAAGTGTAACGTCACAGAGCAATCCTTCTATTCGCAACTGGTCAAAACCCTGAAAACACACACAATGGAAAAAGATAAATAGATCCTGGAGCAAAATCGTTCTCTGCATGACAGAACAAGAGCAGGAATTATCTTTGCTAACAAACTAAAATAGCCAACATTATTTTAACCCTGGAGAGCTAAGAAACACATTCAAAATGCTGACTCATAGGATAAATAGACACAAATGTCATGCATTAATCACAAGTCCAATCCTAGTATGCTAGCAGACATTTGGAGCTTTCCTCCTCTAACCCATTCTATATGTTAGCAGCAAAAAAAAAACTGTTTAAAAAGGATAAGTTTGCCTTTTGTAACAGGTTACACCTTTACTCTCAGGATGTAACATGTAACAACTGCACAGGCCCCCCTCCGTCCTTCTGGTCACGTCATCCATTCACAGAATCAGAAAACTACAAGTCCCCACAGATTCTACGGATGTTGGCATGTAGTTCTCAATGAACCTTAACGGCGCTGTTGAGTTGTGGCAATTCATTCTCTCTTCTTGTCGGTGTGTATTTGCCTACCTGTACAAGGCATAAGACAGATACACTGACAAGTCTGCTAGCATCCTGCATGGCACCTGTAATCTGCTAATCGCAGGTACAATGCTTTACAGTCTCAAAGTTGAATAATAAATGCACATCTTTTTTGCATGTAAAAAAAATGTGCATTTATTTATTTTTTTAAAAAGGTGAATTTATCCTTTACTGTCACGATTCATTAATCTTCCTTCTTGGGCAATTGGCCATACAAGTATTCATTGAGGGCACCATCTAACATAATACCTCATAGCTTACACATTCAGAGATATGATGCCATATGAGGCTAATAATGTAATGGTTTCAAAACCGTAAAAGCAAGTGCTACTTGCGTATTACCACCAACTGCAGTAATCCAGTGCAGATTACATGAGGTAGAACATTTGAGGGTCAATGCCATCTTATTTACAGTGTTCTAGTCCACTAGATGGAAATCAGACAATATACCAGTGAGGGGAATCGGACAATATACACCTGTTCTAACCTATGGGAACAGTAATGCAAACCATTCACAAATTTTAAATTTACAATTTATAACTATGAAAAGCAATGGGAGGCCGACAGCTCCAGCAGCTATACGCAGAGATTCTCATGTCAAAACTCAAGCCGAATTACCTGTGAATGACAGACCCTGGACACAAATAGTCGTGAATAGCCACAGGAATGGTCAGTGTCCCATTGCTTTCAATGGGGCTTCGGCCCGCAGCTAATCTTTGGGAACCCCACTGCATCTAATCACTGACAGTTCCACTCACAAGTGTGATTGGGGTAAAACTTGAGGAACTAGATTATAAAAAATACATGTCAGGCTGAGGAGGCAGAGACAGACACAATCAAGTCATGTGGCTGAACCAAAAACCCACAAGGAGTTTTCCAATAACTGTGTGCCTAGACTCCTATGATATGCCTATGAGCAAGATAAGAAAGGTTACCCATTTTTTTTTTTTATTACATTTTATTAGAATTCTTTTTTAAATGTACCTTTATTGCCATCACAATGGGGGGACCACACCGCCTGCACTGTAAAGGTGATCGGGTAAATATACAGCTGCCTGGGTCACTTTCACATGACAGCCAGGTATGGGCTGAAGAAAACAACCACAAACTCATGGCTGTTACATGCAGGCTCATGCAGCCATGAGCTTGTGTTACATCCGTCATGCCATCTATAATTAGTAAAAGCTCTGGTGTATGCAACAACATAGTCATATTTAATAAAAACTACATTTTACATAGATTTTAAAAAACGATTTTGAAAACTGCATTGGAAAATCACATTTGGGAAACAAGTGAAATGGTATTACTTTCTAACTCATGATACAATTTTTTTTTTTTTATTTCAGACAGTGCCCTCCCTACAATTGCTTTTCTGGGTTTAGAGAACTAACACACAGCTGATGAGGAAAATGTACAACCTAAATATTAAACGAACGAAACACTAGTGAACTAATAAAAAACTAATGTAACCCTTTCACAAGGCAAATCTCTAGGTTGCTGACCTCTTGCAGAAAATGTTGTCTGCCAGGCTGTCATGCTGACCCCCGACTTTAAAGCAAGCAAATGCCACCACATCTAAGGACTTGTCATCTGCAACACATTACATTTTTAACTTGGGTTTCTATATACCTCAAGGAATACTTAGGAAGATCACCAACCTGTAACACCACTGAACTATGAGTATTGCTGGTGAAGAAGCGAGTGGTGCCTGTCTTTGAAGACTGAAGGTGAGCAGACACACCCATATCGTTGTTCCCAAGAGAGACTTTCAAATGAGGGTCCTCCTCTTCTACCAAAGATCTGAAATATAAAAGGGAAATACAACTACATTTTAGACATAGAATTAAAAATTTACATTAAAAAAATATAAAAAATAAAAGACAGCACCATATCTACATGCAATATAAACAAGTGTGTAATTCATCAGTATAAATTATCACTTGTTAACGTTTTCTTAAAACTATCTCAAGGATAGTACTGAAGAAGGGGAAAAAGGATGTGTGGGGTGACAATGTATCCCAAGCACAATACACTAAGACATCCTGTACAAAGACAGCAAGGTACGCAATACAGACTGTGAGGGTACTCTAGACGCTATGCCAAACTGATAGCTGAAAATAATTACTTGGGACACTACAGAGGCATTACTGCTCTACCTTCTGAGGCACTGGCAGGAAACTACACATAGACATGTAAAAATATAGGATATTCATGTACGTTTATCATTCAGTAGGACGACGAAAATAAAACAGTTGTCCTGATATGCTACTATAACAGATTTACGAACAACATTGTTTTCAACATTAATAGTATGAAGCCTTTCTCAACCTTTTCAACACACAAAAACCCTTGTAAAAACTTTCCAGTCTCAGGGAACTCCTGCTAAAATTATATTTTCAACTCATGATACATTAAATGTGATGAACAGTGGAAAGAATGCTCCTTACACTGGTGGTCATTGGGAAGAATTACCCCCTTACAGATAGCTAAAAAGATAAGTGGAGCCAGTGGAACATCTAGAGGAACCCTAGAATTCCATGGAAGCCTGGTTGAGAAACCCATGTCAATGGTAAAGTAGATTACTAGGAAATAAAAATGCATGCTTATGCTCAGGGCCCAGGCAGCTTTATATTGCGTTTTTGTCCATGCAGAGAGGTATTTTTTTTATTATTATTATTTTGAGCACTGTAGGTCCGACACTAAAAAGTTAGAGGAACTTAAGCCACGTTTCCAAAAAATCAAGCCAGCAGCTACAAAAGCATACTCATCTGTCCAGGGATCCAGTGCCATCCTCACCTGGGACAGTTCTTCTCTGGTCTTTAGGCATGTTAACTGTGGGAAGTTAGCTATGATTCCTTGTGGTATGACAGTCAGCTCCCTAGCGCCTGCACACGAACAATGCTGCGCCTTGTGAATGGACCCGTAGCCTCATGGTGCCTGCAATGTGTCACAGAAGCTTGTGGGCAGGGGGCGAACTTCAGCTCCAACCACCTAGGTAATCTCTCCACCCCCCAAAAAATATATATAATTTTCCAAATATAGAAGAGGAGGGGGGGGGGTAAGGAAGAAAAGCAGAACCATCTTTGGGTGAAGTTCCATTTTAAAGTTCTGACCGCCCACAGAAAGCTTCAGTGAGTCCTGAGGCTGTAGCTGGCTGGTGACAAAGGAATAAGTGAGGAAAACACAGCACAGGGATCCCAGCGGGTGCATAGGCTCAGCAAAAAAAGTTACAGGTATAGTCAGACCCTAGTATTCAAAAAAAGAATACAAATGACACCTAAACACATTAACTGTGATCATCATTAGAATGAAAATGATCATTATAACCACAGTGAGATGCTTATGTTGATCATCAATCATTATGATGATGATCATAGTTAAGCTGTTTAGGTGTATATATATGCTGTACAGCTTTGCACTGCGACAGGGAAAAATTATCCCATTTGTTGTGCTCAGCAGACAGCACTGCTTGATGAACATGACCCATTCAACTGAATGGGGGCGCCCTGCAACTGCATGTAGTGTACACACTACTGCAGAACGTACGAGTTTAAAAGCAGATGGCAAGGAGGCAATACAAGGTCTCCTTACCACCTGCCAAGCACTCTCAGAAGAGCAATTCAGAATGCAGATCTCTCTTTAGAAAGAGAAATGCTAGTGTAAACTAGACCTTAGGGCTCTTTCACATTAATGGTGCTCTCCGAAGAGTGGATTGCATTTGGATAACTTTTCAGAGAGCATTTGATAGGCAGTGAGGTGTTGTATTGCCCTCTCACTGCCTGCTTTAATCCTTTGAAGCCCGCACTAGTGCGTTGCAACAGTATGCATTGGACATGATTGCAAGGTGATTGCACAGGGCCCTACTCAATCTGGACCGGTCCTGCTTATGCTGATCGGAGCAGCTTGAACTATAGGTTATATAAAAAGGTAAGGTTTTGTCATATCTACACAATATTCCAATGAAAAGAGGAAGAAGAAAAAAAAAATTATTCTGCCACTAGAAATCTTTCACTGATCCAACCATCATAAAAACCTAAATCTAACTGGCTGATGCAGTTTAAAATTAGGCAGTAAAACTAACTGCTATCACAATAGCATGGAAAAGTGGATCTCGCGTTTCATCAAAATAAGCTGCCAGTTTTTGCCATCTAATATAATGACAAATACCAAAAATGCATTGGAGGCTTATTATTGTTGTTAAAATACTAAACATTTCTGTTCTTTAATGCATAATGGCGGAGGAAGATAAAAAAAGTTTGTCACCATGCAAAGTCCTTTTGGGTTTTTTAAACTAGTTGTACAAAAACAGATTGACATGAAATAATGTCAAATATCGGTCAACTTTACATCCCCACATATTCACATTTTTTTAGTCTGGGGTATACATTCATTTCAAAAGACAAGTGAACTTTAATTTCAAGTCAAGAAGATTGATTGCTAAATGAAATTAAATTAAAGTCTATTTACTTTTTGTTTATAATTATATAATATTATTTTACATTTTAGATTTTCTAATTATAAATTTAAATTATTTTTTTTTAATTATTTTATATTTAATTCAATTTAATTTGTTTGCTTTTATAATAAAATAAGTTAATAAAATTATTTTAAAATTATTATTAATAAAAGGAAAATGGTGAAGATACAAAGTACACGAAGGATCACTGACCACAAAAAAAAAAAAAAAAAAAAAAAAAAAATTTAGCACAATACTAAGAGTTTATGTCAGCAAGGCATTACATGACACTTCCCAATGTGAGATAAAGAATTCATGTACACAAGGTTGGAACGTCAGCTGGCATCCACTTTACTATTCATTTCCAATAACCGTTAACCAATGTAGCCAATGCAAGCGGAAAAAAACAAAAAAAAACAAAAAAAAAAATTATAGATGATAGTCCAACTTTGTGCCTTCTATATGAAAAGATGCCCCAAGCTGCTTAAAACTGTCCATTGGCCTCTAGACCAGATGAATGTGGTCGTACATAGACTACTATAACTGGACCTCTGTGGGTAGTTGTGTTGCAGTGGAATTCACTAAAGATTTCAAGGTTATCACATATCTTAACATATGGATTCAGATGTAGGGTTTGCACAAACTGAAACTTGAAAATCACAAAATTCCAAAAACGTCCCCTCGTTTCCCCGCTGCCCCAGATAGTTCAGTAAACATGTAATTTCCCTGCACTGTTTTTTTGCGTAAGTGTCCATTGATTTCTTCCGATCGCTTTTTTTTTTTTAAATGATCCACTCCGTTGGAAAATGTTTTGTCCAACCTGTTACAGATACTCCTTACCTTGTACACATGATCAAAAGATCGTATGAAAAATACTGCTTTCGACGCAATAGTAGGATAATCTGATCATTAGTACTCAGTTTTTGACAGTCGATCACCACAGTTCATCCAAAATTATCCAAAAGGAACAAACACGAAAATGTTTCTCATACGATACCAGATCGTAGGATTTCTGTTTAATCAGTACAGTTTTCATCTGAAAATACTATACAAATGCAATACATTTTATTACTTCCGGAATACAATTCTGTCGTATGAGAATTTTCGTATATTGAGTAACCTCAATTTTCAATATAGAGACTAGCATGCATAAAAAAGAAAAAAAAAAAAAAACAGGCAATCACTCGTCTGATATTCTCATTATTTGTACGAGGCTTAAATTAAGAGGCTAACCAGTCTACATTTCTTGCTACATACATGTTTGAGTTGTTTTTTGGGGCTTTACCATTTCTAATCTTTAAGCTATGGCCCTGCAAACTATGTTATGTTGTGTGAATTTCATATGTACATGCGTTGGTTTTTGCTTGTACCTCTGTATTATGAACGTCAATAAAAAATGTACTGAAAACAAAATCAAAAACTTCCAAGTGTGCACAATTCTAAACAACCAAAACCTTTAACACTGCCACAGCTGCTATCATGCAAGCTAGCCAAGAGACAAGAATGGAAAAGAAATGTAAAAAGCACTAAGCCAATAATGGTGATCCAGAGTTCACAGCAATAGGATAATATATAGAACCTATTTCACACTGAATGACATTACTGCTCTACATTCTCTGCAAGCAGGCACTGTGCGTGACATGGATGCTAGGGAGACATTTTTAGCAACCCATAAACCATGCAAAATTTATTTTAAATAAACTGATTTATTTTTGGTTACTTTTAACAAAGACAAAACATTTTCCTTAAAGTAGCAGAAATGAAGAATGTACCAAACGCAAAACAAGCAGAAAACAACAAGTAAGTGGTCAGGTCAGGTCTTCTGCTTCTAAAAGTACATCTTTCAAAACTAATTCTAATTTGAACAAATGCAATAAGTGAAATGCCCAATGACCATACTTTAAGCATTCTTTTGTCCTGTATACCTTGCATTAAAAACAATAGAAAAAAAAAAACTGTCGAATACGTACCCCAACTTTCAAAGCGTCTTATGAGTATGAAGAGATAGATATGAAGCCAAATTGTCAGTAAATGGCAGGTAGCAGTGTCTGCTAAGCTTCACAAGAAACTTTTACCCAAGAATGAAGATACTCAGGAAGCTGCTATTTCCTCTGCATTTTCAGATGTGAAAGATAAAGAGGTGTATTTACTTCAAACACCATGACATATGAATGGTATCCTCCAAAACAAATAATCAGACTATAAAAAGGAAGTTCACTTTTTTTCTTTTAATTACTTCACAAAAGGGCTGATATATGTGTATTTCTGATTTTGAACTCTATTTACAGTTTGAGACCAGTGGTCCCAAAAGTTGGGTCCTTTGCTTGCCTTTATCCACCCCTTGGGTCACAATTCCTCCCACTGACCCAAACAATGGGACGCTGGTCCTCCCACTGACCC